AAGCACAGTGACCTCCCAGACTACCTCATCTCAGAGTCTTTTGTAGTTAATGTTTAATTTAAAACAAAGACAAAGAGCCCAAAGTTGACTCTGCAGAGAACTGTTCTCACCCTTGATTTACAGGACAATGGGAAGAGAGGGTACTATAGAAAATACCCAGGCTTTAGGCTGGCCCCCAGAGATGCAGAGATGCAGCACAGCCAGTGGGTGATTTACTTGTGTAGTCAGGGAAGAAGAAACTCCACAGAGAGACCCAGAGATGCAAAGGGAGGAAATGTGGCGTGGAAGGAGGCGATCACAGAAGAGAGCAAATCCATCTGCGATGCCTGCCCAGGCCTTTAGGAATATTTTCTTGTTTATTTCTTAAAACACAGGACACATCATGAGCATCACATTTTGCAGATAAAGCCAGGGGATCCTGGAGCGCGGAGACCAGCTCAAAAGTTTATGGCGTTGTCATCGGGTCTGCCTTTCCTCCTAACTCATGTCAGGGGGAGGCCATAAAGATTAGGAGACTGCACCAGCTCTTGAGTTAGTGAAGTGTAGGAGAAGGCGTTCCAAGAGAATGAGCCGGGATGAGAAACATCACCCTGGCTTTGGTATTGTCTGAAAACTTTGGCCGACAGCACTGGAAGCCATGAGTCCCCTGCACAGACTTTGGTAGAGACAATGTCTGCAAGAATTACTCTTGATTTTAAAATATTTTTGCTCCACTCAGAGGCTGTCTCCATACCTACTTGATCTCATTGGCATCCTCAATGTATATTTAGTTCTTTTTTTTTTTTTTTTAAGTTTTTGTGGTTATACCCGGCAATGCTCGGGGCCTACTCCTGGCTCTGCACTCAGGAATTACTCCTGGAGATGCTCAGGAGACCATATAAGGTGCCGGGGATCGAACCCAGGCTGGCCACGTGCAAGGCAAATGCCCTACCTGCCGTACTATTGCTCCGGCCCCCATTTAGTTCTTGACGCTCAACACACATGTGAACTCAACACACATGTGAAACTTCAAATATGAAGCAAACATTCAATAACTTAATCATGCGGCAACTTTTGGCAGCTGCCTATATACTCATGAACTAACTGTAGTAAACAAGTGAGGGGCCCATGATCCCGTAGAATGCTTGAGCAACAAAAAAAATTAGGGGGGCAACATTTGTTGGGAAGATGAGCTGGGCTGTCTTGCTATTTGGAGACTCACAACACAACCCAGGGAGGGATATAAGCTAAAGTCACTGACCAGAGCCAGACTCAGTAGCACTCCTTGCATTTACTCTTATACTTGGCATTCTTCTAACTGGAAAACTGTTGGCAGTGGGTGTGGCTAGCGAAGAAAGTTTATTATTTAAACTCATCACACGATAAGGAAACCAGGTTAAGTGCATTTATCCTGGGAACAGGAAAAGAGATCTCCCACAGTAAAAGTCAAACAAATACCCTCCAGAGAGCATCCTCTGTCTGTGGAAGGAACAGAAAAAGAAGATGACAAAGATGTGCTTTGTCCTTTACACTTGCACCTAGAAAGTCTCGGAACCCTGGAAAGTGGTGCTTGACCTGGGAGAGCAGGTAGGAGCAAAGAATCTTCTGGTGAACAGAAAGATTAGGAGCTTCCGGTAGCAAAGGTTACCCACGGAGGGTATGGCAGGAGGTGAGGGTGGGAATTTCCAGCTGACAGCTATCTTATCTATAAGATAGAGGTGAAATATATAAATCTGTGACATGTGCCCTCTGACCAGGGTCCCAGAAAGTACCTCATGCATTATTCAGGAATAATTCTATCATTTTATTTGTTGCTTTTTATTTGTTTTATAGGCCACACCTGGTGGTGCTCAGGGCTTCTTCCTGGCTATGCACTCTTGTGTCATGCCTGGCAGGGCTTGGGGTACCATATGGAGTGCTCAGGAATGAGCCCGGGTTCAGGGCAAGGCAAATATCCTACCTGCTAGACACCCTACTGCAGCTCCTAATTTTGTCTTGTTCTTTTTTCCTGTCTGGGGATAATTACATAATGGATAGCCCTGCTGTTAATATGATTGTTGTTGTCTCTGGTTGTGAAAGGAAACTGTGGAAGAGGGTAGGCATTTCAGCATGCATTTGTGATGATCCTGAAATCTCTCCCTCTTCTCATTCCTTTTTCAGTTTTTAATATGGGACCACCAGTCATGATCTAAGACAATAGACTAATCCCAGGGGTGCTCAGCCTAGTGCTCAGGTCTGATGATTCTGTACTCAAAACTGGGGGTTGGGGTCCAGAGCGAAAGTAGAGCAAGTAGAGTGTTTGCCTTGCATGCGGCCAACCTGGGATGGATCCCTGAAATCCCGTAAGTCCTATGGTCCCCCAAGCATCACCAGGAGTAGCTCCTGATTGCAGAGTCAGGAGTAACCCCTGAGCATCACTGGGTGTGGCCCAAAAAGAAAAAAGAAATCTGGAGATGCCCAGGGCCACACCTGTGTGCAGCAGAAGAGTCTTTCTTCAAGTTACTAAACTCAGGGTATCGACCTGAGCTCTACCACTCAAACTAGCATCCACTCCGGTCTCTTTGAGCCTTTTTACTTTTGAATTGTTTTGAATTTTGAGCCAAACCTGGCAGTTACTCAGGGCTTACTCTTGGCTCTGCACTTAGGGAGCACCCCTGGTAAGGCTCAGGGGACCCTTTCTGGGGATTGAAAGGCAGGTGAGTGTCTTTCCTGCTTTACTATATCTCCAGGCCCCTTTGTAAAGGGAACTTGACTGGCCTACAGCTATATTTGTGAGCAAGAGAGGAGCAAAGGCAGAGCCATGACCGTCTCATAAAGAAGCCAGAAAAAGCTAGGCCTAGGTTTCAGTTTCAGAATTTCTGGAATTGAGCACAGATACCTGGAATTGAGTCACAATTTCCCTAAAGTGAGATAGCCATGGTGAGGTCAACTAAGGGTTACCAATCAGATGCAGGTAGGGAAGCCCCACCATATAACCCTTATGTAACTCTTATGCAACCCTTATGTAACTCCAACTTATAACCAATCAGCTAAGTACAAGTAGTGGAAAGCCCCTCAGACTGCACCCAAAAGAGTGGTCCGAGGAGAGGCCCTGTTATATAATGTTATGATAGATTTTTGAGACTCAGGGCCACTTGTTCCAAGAAGGCTGCCACTGTGTCAGTTGGCCAGACAAGGGCCCTAGCTCCAACTACCGGACCTAGCCAATAAAAACCCTTTGCTTGTTGCATCACAACTTGTCTTCGTCTGATTCCTCTGGGGAGATCTCAGCCTGATTTAATAGTTGCGCCCCCAACCCCTTAAACTGGAAAAGTCTTCAATCTGCAGCATTGTGGACTCCAGGATAGACAATAGGAAGTGACATAAAATAAATAAAATAAGAACAATCCCAACGAGAGTGAAAACTAAAATCAAGTAGTGCTACTTTATGCATTTCTCTTGACATGTCAACAGCAAGAGAATAGTGAATTGCCATGAGAATGTGAGGACTCTGACAAGGAGTGTGAAATTACTAGCTCCAGCTGACAGACCTAAGAGATTAAACAGTGACTCAAGAACTACAGAGTGATAGTACAGCTGCGAAGGCATTGGCCTTGCACATAGACAACCCAGTTTTGGTTCCTGATACTCCATACAGATCCCCAAGCCCATCATGACTAACTCCACAAGTCAGAGCCAGGAGCAAGCCCTTAGCACCAATGGGTGTGCCCCCCCCCCAAAAAAAAAAGAACTAAATGAGGAACTGGTAATATCTCCCATCTCAAGCCTCTGGAGTGTCTGCATGCCTGGCCAACGGATTCTGTTCCTGCAAACACTCCAGGGCAACACCAAGACCCACTACTCCCTATTTAGAACAAAATCCAAACCCTGGTAGGTTCTGTGAGACTCCAGCTGAGGTAAAGTTCCCTTGGGGCCAGGATGATAGTACAGTGGGCAAGTGACTGACCTGAGTTCAATCCCAAGGACCAAATATGATCCCCAAGATCTGGAGTGATCCCCAAGCACTTCTGGGTATAGGCCAAAACAAAAAAAAAAGTTTCCTTACTCCTCTGCATACCAGGATACTAACCTGATGCATGAAATAACTGAGCTCTTAAAATGCCCATCAGAACACCAAAGAAAGGTGTTGGGAGGATCCTCCCAGGATGAGAGAAGCATGCTGAAAGTAGACTATAGACCAAATATGATTGTCACCCATTGCCTCTTTTGCAAACCACAACACCCAATAAGGAGAGAGAACAAAAGGGAATGCCCTGCCACAGAGGCAGGGTGGGATGGGGGGGATGGGGGGTGGGAGGGATACTGGGATCCATGGTGGTGGGAAATGGGCACTGGTGGAGGGATGGGTATTTGATCATTGTATAATTGAAACCCAAGCACAAAAATTTGTAAGTCTGCAACTGTACCTCATGATGTCTCACTAATAAAAAAAAAAGAAATAACATCAATATCCCTATTATATATTTAAAAAGTAATATGAGTAATTGTTTCCATAATTTTGTTCAATAAATGGTTAAAAGTTAAAAATAAATAAATAAATAAAATGCCCATCATTAAACAAGCATTTCTTTGGGTTCGACTGCAAGTGTTATGAATACAAAACTAGGAAGAAGGAAGGAAGAGGGTTACTGGCAATGCTCCTCCGATCTCAGCAGCCAGAACTGAAACCACTTGTCCATACTGGTCCCTTCGTTGGCACCCTGCCCTCTACCTCTCTCCCCCACAGTCATCGAGCCTCCCCCAGAGTCCTCAGTGAAACAGGGAAGCCACTTATAAATTCTCCCTCAACTCCAATTACACTGTCAGGCAAGTTCTTCCCCACCAAGTCACCCATTGGCAGCTGTGCATTTCAAAATCAACTAGAACAGAGGAAAAGGGGGCCTCTCTCTCTTCAGATGCAGTTTCCCTGCTCCATTGCAAAAAGATGCATATTTGGTCACCTTCGTCCTTTGCCTGGGGAGAAGCCCTGGCAGTGGTCTATCAGATGGTAATGAAAACCATTGGCATCACAGATCACTTACGGGTGCACGGCATGGAGGCGGCATCGTTGTCAGCTCTGAAAAAGCCTCGGTCACAGGTGCAGGAGGTGGCTCCTTCCCAAACAGAGTAGCTGTGGGGTGGGCACTTGGCACACGTGGCATCCGTGGAGAGGGCCTTGTAATATCCAATTTTGCAGGCTACGGAGAGATGAGAAAAAGGTAAGGTGTGTAAATCACCACCCATCACAAACCACTTCTTCCACGCTGACTAAGAGAGACACACTTGACTAATCATTGGGGACCATCTGGCTTGGACATAGGACAAAACCGCTCACAACATTAATGATTTTAGTCACTCTAAAAGTTTCTAACTCTAAAGGTTTCTAACAGTCCTGGTCAGGTGGCAAGAAGACCTATGGGAAAAATGTTTTAGAAAAGGTGGTATCAGGCAGGCTCACTGCTCAGTTTACCCAGTGCCCTGGAGTATATGCCAATCACCCTACTTACATGCTTGATATTGGTTAATACTTGCAGCACCCTTTTACCTGGGCACTGTTACCAGCCTTCTCCTAGAACCGAGCAATGCCAGTTTGGAGCCATGAACTGCTTGTACCAAATCAAGCACCTAGCAAATGTCAGGGGCCACTTTGGACCCCAAGTTAAAATCAGCACCCCAAGGTTCTCCCCTTGATTGCATCCTCTGGAATGTGAGAATATGCTCTTGAACTAAGCCATTGGAAGTGTGTTGAAGTGCTAACAACAACCAAAAAAAAATTGGTGGGTGATTATTTCTAATTACAGCTACAGAGCGAACCAAAGTGAATAAGCAGCAAAAGCAACCAAGCATGAAGGAAAATAGTTGCAAAAACATGGGTCACAGTGTCAGGGAAAATTATAGAAACTACCAACCGTCGATTCAGAGAGCGTGTGTTAAATTTACCCTTTAAGACTCACAAAGCTCGTGTGTTTCCGGTCAAATGAATTAGATCCTCCTGTTTTCTCCTCTCTTTGTGGTCTCTGCACACATACCTGAAGCTCTGATGCAGAGCACATGGAGCACAGAGTTCAGGCACCTGATTTCGTGTTCTTTCCATGACGTCATCTTTACAAACAGGCCACTGACACCAAGGGCCGCTTTGACTCATGTGGAAAAACTCAAGGATGCTGTGCAGCCTCACATTAAAGAAAGCTCAGAGAGCTTACTCTCCCCTTCTTCATGCCCTAGGCCCTTTGTAAGTCCACAGAGACAAGGTCATCAAAAACGATTACTTCATGGGGACCAGAGAGACGCTCCAGTGGGTAGGGCACTTGCCTTGCACATAGCTGATCCGGGTTCAATCTTTGGCAAGCCTGCCAGGAGTGATCTCTGAGCACAGAGTCAGGAGTAAGCCTTAAGCACTGCTGATTGTGACCCAAACCACCCCCTCCACCTCCACATTTTAAATGGTTATTTCATAAGATCGATATATTAAAAAAAAGAATAAACAAGAGAAGTGACAGCGACCCACAATCTTTGCGGTTTGATTCACTAGCAATTCCTCCCATTTATCATGACCAGTGGGATGTTTCTCATGATCAAAAATGCCAGGTGAGCCAAGGACCCATAGGACATTTCCCAACAGCCTGACCACAAAGAGACCAACCCTGCCAGCAACCTAGAAGATCCTCTGCAAGTGGGCAGATACCAAAATCTCCATGAAAACGCTTGATCTTCTGGGGGAATCAGCCTTTCTGCCATTACTCATCCATCAAACATCCATACGGCTCCCAGTTGAAATCTGTTCCTCCTGCTTGCACATCCTGTTGGTATTTTCTTAATCATGCTCTTAGAATGGCAAGCGGAAAGGGAGTTCATCAGAAGCTCCAGGAAAGCGCACGGCTACTTGGAGCATGATTAACCAACTTTGTTTATGGAATTCCCTTTAACGAGCCCAAACTTTATGATGTGTGGCGCACCGACCATAAAGTGCTCGGAGATCAATCTCTCCCTTATTTGCTTTCGTCTTCCACTGGACCGGAGCATCTTAGAAAAACAAGCTGCTCCAATGACTGTGATTTATATGTCTCAAGCTGATACACATCACATAATTAGATAAGGTTCAACATGCAAGGTGCTTTTTGGCCATGCTTAAAGATGGCCCTGGGGTTTTGATGAAAATTAGAAGCCCTGGCTTTGGCAGGAAAGAAAGCACTGAGGTTGACTTGCACAGTAAAACCAGTAAGCCCCCAACCCAAACCCACAGCACCCAGGCTGTCACTCAGGCAGTCACAAGTGACAAAGGCAACTTGTGGGAACCTGGCCTCTTAGTGCCTGGACTGCTAAGAAGGCATAAATTGTTTCCAATGTAAAAATCTGGACGTTAGAGAAAAACTGGCCATATTGGGGCTGGAGTGATAGCACAGCGAATAGGGTGTTTGCCTTGCACACAGCCAACCCGGGTTCGATTGCCAGCATCCCAAATGGTCTCCCAAGCACTTCTAGGAGTAATTCCTGAGTGCATGAACCAGGAGTAACCCCTGTGCATCGCTGGGTGTGACCCCCCCCCCAAAAAAAACTGGCCAAATTCCTGACTGACCACTGTGTAACTTTACCTCCTAGGGCGTCAAAAGCTACAATCTCACAGTGCTAGACCGACCACAAACATGGGCTTAGGCCTAATTCATTCCACTGTGGAAACAGCACATTCTAAAGTTTGTGAGGGAAAAATAGTTTGTGAGTGTGTGTGGGTATCTATGGGTGTGTGTGTGTGTGTGTGTGTGTGTGTGTGTGTCCACACAGAGGGCACTATTATTCCTCAACTTTTATTCTAAAAAACCTACATAGAGACTACAGACATTCTTCACAACATCAAATGCAGGATGTCTCAGATTTCTTAAAGTTCAACAATGAATTGAACACTTTAGATAACGCATATTTATGTAATTCTATGTTATGTCTTGAGAGATCTCTAGTTCATATAGTTTACATATATAGGATAAAGACATTTGCAACTTTACATTTCTGTCTACTTCTCCTTAAAGAGGATATGCTAACAAGAATAAGCCTGCATTAATTTCTTTGGGGGAATACAGAACAATACTCCTGGAATATGTATTGCAAAACTAGGGTGTCTGCTTCCTAAACACAGGGACTATTTTTACTCTCTTTCTCACTGTGCAAATGCAAACAGAAAAGATAAAATTGCCATTGTGCTATTCTAGGCACCCCTTGCCACATTCTTTTGTCTTCAGCGACATGAAGATCATGTTATTAATACTTCAGGATTCTTAGAAAGGATGTCTCAAAATATAGTAGTAGTTTTGCATACACAGTTATTTTGCTGCCTACGTATGTAAAAATGACCAACTAATCTGATGGTTCAGCACATTGCTTTCCTCACATTGCTACATTGTTGGGGTTCATAGCTTTCCTGCCTTGGGTGCCTGAATGTCTAAGTTCATCCCACATGTCTTCACCATGCACACATTCAAAATTTCACTACACCTTTCATTCTACACACAATTCTCAGGAAAGATGTATTTGGTAATAGCAACCACCAGCGTTAGGCTTCACCATCATTCTCTCATTAAGTGAGTAACTGACACAGTATTTTTGAATTGTAATAACATGGTTAAGCAAGTCTGTAGAGAGCTCAAGAAAAAATGCAAGAGATCCCCTCCCTTCTGTCCCCTTTTTGTGGCGAAGGTCCATTGTTCCAGTACAGTATAAAGGAGGAGGAGAGCCTTGAGTGGCCTTTCAATGATGCCATTGTGGGAAGATGAATTTGCATGAGCAATGCAAACTTTGAATTCCTTTCCTTTGGCTTTGCCTTAATTAGTTCTTTTTTGCTGACTTAAAATAAAATAAGACAAATGAGGACAAGGAGGAGGAAGAAAAACTCCTTCCTTTCATGAGCTCACCCACTAACAGATTCAGGTTGCATTTAGGAATGGTCTCCCGGAAATTTTCTTTGTAGAATATTTAAACAAAACTGCTTTGGGCTAAAAATAAAAATATATATATTTTAAGAAATGTAGAATCGCCAGGATTTTCCAGTATAGAGATGATTTATATGCAGGTTTAATCCTTCATTTAAGGAACTAGTTACCTAGCTAGTTAACTTACTCTCAAAAAATTTGGTCATTCTTTTTCTTAAAGAGAAAATCTGGTATTACTAAATTATCTTTATAGCACATTTTCAGACAAATTTAGCCTATAACATAGCTAAAAATAGCAATTGTGGTGATAGATACTCATCGCTCATTGAGCATTTATTGTGTTTGCATGCATTATTATTTCATTTAATCTTCACAACAATCCTGCAAACTTATTGCAAAAAGAAAAAAAATTAAAATCCCAGTTTGCAAATACAGAGCCCCTCAGTAACTTTTAAATAACTTGTCCAAGGTGACACCATCCAACAGTGGTTTCTGAACTTAACTCCAGCTCGGGATCTTCTGAAAGTTTTAACATACTTTATCCCATGGATGTAACTTGACATCAGAAAAAGGCCATTGAAATAAACTTAGAACTGGACAGTGGGAAGGCAAGGATGGTTTCACCTTCCATTTGCCCTCCCAGCCCTTCCAGTGCAGGGCAAGTGCAATTCTCGTCCAGCTGGAGTTCTTGTCCAGAGCTGTACCAAGAGTTGTTTCATGAGACTCTGACACAACCATGTGAAATGTGGCGCATCTAAATAGGTACTTGGTAATCAGTATCAAAGACACCCCAGATTCCAAAGACTTAGTAACCCTAAAAGACAAAAGGAAAAAAACCTGACTAATAAGTACAAAATCAAATATATGCAAATAAATTAAGATTCTAGGTAGGTCAAAAAGATCTTAACTGCACATCATCATCATCATTATTATTATTATTATTATCATCATCTTTATTAGTTGGCTTTTTGGTGCTCAGGAGTGCTGGGAGTCCCCGGACAATTGTCAGCCAATAGAGCGAGTGGTCCAGGGGCCCTGGACTGTGTGATGCTCGTGTTCTGTAGTGCTGGGGATTACACAGGACACACGGGCAGCCCTCTGGCCTCAGCACTACACTCAGCAATGATCAAGAAACCACATGGTGGCAGAGGGCTCAAAAAAAGCCTGCCACATGCAAGGCCTGTGTCATAACTCCATTGGATCATTTTGGTCCCATCACCTCTGTAAAGGAGATGATTTAAAAAAAATTAAAGGTATCTCTGTGACAAGCTACCCGTGGC